GGCCCGAGGGGGCGGGAGAGGGTCCAGCCCATGCTGCGCCTGGGCTGGGACTGGTCCCGCCGGCGCAGGATAGCAGGAAGCTCTCCACACACTCACCGGACCTGGGCTAGGACTGGGTCTGGGGGTTCCCGGAAGTCGGCAGAAATTCCTACTGGGAGGGAGGGGTGGGGGGCGGCCCGAGGGGGCAGGAGAGGGTCCGGCCCACGCTGCGCCTGGGCTGGGACTGGTCCCGCCAGCGCAGGGTAGCAGGAACCTCTCCACACACTCACCGGACCTGGGCTAGGACTGGGTCTCACTTTTACCTCTTTGGATGATTGTATTAGTATAGATTTATACAGATTTATAGAGATTAATATGTTTGTGCTGTTACTTCCTTATTTTTTGGCTTACTTAGGCATTTTCTGTTGGTTCTGCACTTTAGGGAGTAAGGAGTTAGCTCTCTTTCTGGCTGTCTGGCTGTCTGGCTGTCTCTCTTTCTCTGTCTCTCTGTCTCTCTCTCTCCCTCCCTTTCTCCCTGCTTTATCTACCCATGCAAACACATTCTTCTCCTCTAAGTGTAATTTAAGATAGTGTTTTTGTTTTATAATCACATGAATCTAACTCCAAGCTCAGTCACTTATGGACTTTAACCTGTTTCCTTTATCTAAATAATTATACAACCTTTTTTGCTGAGTTTTATTATTACTAATACAATAACAAGCTAATCACTAATTTTCTCAAACTCCTCTCAGAATGCTCATATCCATTAGATGCTCCCTATTACATGTCTGGAAGATGTCCGAGAGTCTTCTGATATACTCTAATCTAAGAAGTGTCAAAGCCATCAATCTGGGTCTCATTTCTCTTCTCTTATCCACAGACTTCTGTTTGTTTCCTGTTTCATGCATTATAATTCTCTTCTTCCTCTTTGTCCTCCTATTCATCTTCCTCTTTCTCCTCTTCTTCTTTCTCTTCCTCTTCATCCTTCTTCTACATCATCTGGTAATTTTCTTAGATGAAGGGATGGAAAGTAAATATTTTATGACCTTACATGTCTGAAAATTCCTTTCCTATGTATTTGTATTTGACAGATAGCTTGGCTGGGTATCATATCCCCCTTTTATGAAAGCATTAGAAAGTTAAAAATGGTTAAAATAGTTTACCTAATTAGGATCCTAATTAGAGAAGCATCCTAAATATTCAACCTTTTGCTTCCGCTTCCTGAATTTCTCATGATTTTGCTAGAATGTGCATTGGGGTTTGAAGTTCACCATAAACATTCATGTTGCCAAATGGCAGAACTACTAAGTTCATTTGGAGAAATCAAGAGAAGTGACAGTCCTAGTGGACTGGCCCAGATTGAAGACAGATGCAGTAAAGGTGGAGGATAAAAGCTCTTTTCTTTTTCTGTTCATCTCCATTAATTCTATGAGACAGCTTCATCTAACTTGTCAGATGATATAGCTTAATTGGTAGAAATTTCATCTGCACAAAATAGAAAAGTCACTATGCAGATAATTCTGTCTCAGGAAAGCACTGATGATTGTGGCAATTAACAAATCACAGGCTTAGGCACATGGACCAGAGCTTGACAGGCTTGTCCTTTCAATTTAGCAATCTTGTAATTAGGACTTTCTACTTCCAGACTGGTAGGCCATCCTGATCCCCATATTTTGAGCTGTATGGTTTATAAATATTAGAATTTCCCTGCTAGGACTACTGAACAGTGCTGAACGTGAGATGGATGTGATAGATTGTTGGAAAAGTTACTCTACAGGTTCTTAAATTTTTATTTATGTGTGTGTGTGTGTGTGTGTGTGTGTGTGTGTGTGGCCAGCTCAGCCCACCAGGGGGCGGGGCTGGCTGGCATGTGGTGCTGGGGGATTGAACCGTGGTCCCTGTGTTTTGCTTAGCTTAGCTTGTTCTAAATAGGTGCTTTAGACCTCTGAGCCATCTCACCAGCCCTACAGGTTCTTAATAGGACTTAAAATGCAGGCTTTCTTTTGTCTCTTTATAAACTTTATTGGATGTTTTGTGCCTGTTAGTTGACTCCAGATCCATGTTATACTAAGAGAAGAAATAATACCAACCAGAATTATGGAGAATTTTAAATTTCCTTTGTAATTTTTTACTTTCTGTTCTGCATATGCCTAGATTTAGCTTTAATAATCTGTCAGCCTTACAGGATTTTCCGGTTTGCTTTCAAATCAAATATGGATTTCATTGCTCAATTTCTTGTTATTTCCTGTAGGTGGATTACAGTGTTTCATTCTGCTTTCTTGACTGGGAATGCCTTGCCTCCCTCCTGATCCTTCAAGACCTCAGTGTTCATTTTCAGGCCAGGAATATGCTATTTCTTCAGGGAAAAAAAAATCAATTTCCTCTGGGCTTCAGAATGGCCTAGACTTTTTGTGAGCCCAGTGCTGCTTTTTATTTTTTTTTTTAATAAAAGAACATTTCTGAGGCCTACTTATTTTCCCTTCCCTCAGCTATTACTAAGAAGTGTGTTTTCTTATTGGTTGACTCTCTTCCTCTCTCGGATCCTCAGGCATCCAGATGTACCTCTGCAACAGACAGCACTATGGCTACCTGCCCATCCCGCTGAAGCCCCACCAGACACTGCAGGAGGACATCGACAACCTCATCCACGTGCAGATAGAAGCAATGAGTAAGTGGCCCAGGAGTAGGGCAAGGTCTCAGGCCAACCATGTCTCTCCTCTTGAGGCCTGAAAACTCATGGCCTTCAGGCACTCTTGGTTGAAACATAGCTACATCCATTCACTCATTTCAAAATTTTTCTTCTGTGAAATACAAATACCACAAATACCATAAAGTTCTTTGGCTTCAGGGAGCTTCCCGTCCTAGTGGAGAACTGAGTACACGAATACTTTCCACACAATGTAGTAAGTGTTAACATAGTGTTCAGTGGCATTCATTTAAGTCCTGCTTTTATATCATATGACTTTGGGCAAGTAGCCTCCTTAGTTGTAAAATGGAGATAATGAATACTTCCAGGATTTCAAGCAATATATGTAATAATATTTTTGAATTTCAACTTCATAATCGCTTGTGATGTCACAGATACCACACTAAGCACTTTGTCTCATTAAATTCCACAGAAACGTAATGAATGGAGTTTATATCCCCATAATAAAGATGGAGAAATTGAAGTATAGAGATCTCAAGAGAATTTCCCTAGATCATTTTTCTAAAAATGATAGACTGAGATTTAAGCCAGTCTTTCTATTTCCAGCTCGCATGTCCTTAGCTGCTCCATCGGCATTGTCTCAGAACACAGCATGATGTTGGAATTAGAGTGTTTTACAGTCAGTAGCTAAACTTATTGTATAATATACAGTGATGGCCAGAAGAAGAAGTACTGTGCTAATCTGCCTGTCTCAGGGCAGAATGCTGGAAATGACTTCCTGCAGAAGGGAGTATTTTCTGTGTTTTGTCACTAAAGCATAGAATGTGTATACACAGGGGCCATGGAGGTAGTTGGAAAGCACAGTAGGAAGAAAGGCTAGAAACTGGGCAGCAACCCAGCCAGGACTTTGATGATTTAGGTGTTCATGTTTTTCCTGAATGGAAGGGAACTTCTAAAGAAGTTGAGCCCAGAAATGTGAGAGTGAAATTTGAATTTAGGAAGGTCACTCTAGGCTAATACAAGTGACAAATGCAGCAGGGACAGGCAGTGAATTGTGGCCTCATGAGAGGTGAAAGATCATTTTGGAAATGATATGGAAACCATGAAAAGTTTGTGAAGATATGGGTTGAAGCAATAGCTGTGGGAATGGAGAGGGAGGAACGGAGAAACTCGGGACATAGATGTAAAAGGACTTAGTTATCCAAGAATTGGCTGTAAGTGGACAGACAAGAAGGCAGCAGAGCAAAGCTTCCAACTTCTGCCCTAAGTGTCTGGGATGGTTTTAGGAATTTTAAATGGAATAAGGCATCTGGAATAAAACAAAAGTTGGAAAAAACTCCATGAGTTTATCTTATATGGCCATCAAGTTGCCTATGAATATCTATTTTTCCATTCCTCAGCCCCCAGACTATAAATTCCTTTTTTATCATGCTCATCTCAGGATATAGCATGTTGCCATCATCTATCCAGTATGTATTTCTAGAATGATTGAATGGATGGGTGATGAATAAATGAATGAATGGTAGAGTAAGAATTGGTTTGCTGTGACATTCCTAATTCAGTCCTTAGGAATGTAGTTGCGAACTTCTTTAATGTTTACTACTTCTGCCTCTTTTCCTGTCTTCAGGTTCTAGAGTGGTGGTGGTGATGAACCTACGGCTCATGTGCCGCAGCCACCATTTGTTGTCACTTAAAGCTCTAACAGGTTTGCTGCCACTGCAGTAGAGAATAAGGTGGTCACTCACTGCCTTGTAACCCAAGCACCTGGCAGAGCATATGGAACATGGTTGGTGCTGAATATCTACCTGCGGAATGCATGATTACACAAGTCAATATATGAATGAATGAATGAATGAATGAATGAATGAATGAACAAATGAATAAATGAATGAATGAATGTTGTATCATCAAGCACACAAACATGAAGCCATAATAATCTACTTAAACTCAAGCTTTGTCACTTATGAAGGGAGAATCAGTTTCTCAAAGCTTTAGTTCCTTTATCTTAAGAGGAAGGATTATACTATTGACTTTGCAGATGTGTCCAGTTTAATATAACTAAAATATTATACTGTGTATTATAAAACAGCGAAGTGCTGTTATTATTGTGACTTGATTTAGCACTTAGCAAAAGTGCTGCTCCTTATCACCACCACCCCTGTATCCTGGCAGTCTATTCTCCCAAGTAGATGGCACTCAGAGAGAGGTCGACCCAAGCTGTGTTGTCTTGTTTCTTCCCACATGACCAGGCATACAGAAAGATCTCAGTACACAGACATGCAAGCATAATCAATAAAATTTGAATAATAATCAATTATAAATATGTATAACTCATTTTCTGGCCAGATAAAATTTATAGGACAAGAACCTATGAGCTATAACTTTTATTATTGATGTCTCTACACAGGCTAAGAATTTGATTTATGTCATTTTCATTAATTCTTATATCTACTTTCTTGAGATATAATTTTATTAGACTTCACTTCTGAATTTTAAAGTATAGAACACAAAGTAATAAAACAATTCCAAAACGAAGCTTTAGTAGTTTTAATGCAGAAATACAGGCTAAAGCCCTGAGAAGGATGAATAAAATTTTAGTAATGATGAAATCATATCTATCAAGTGTCCTTTTCTAGACTAAATATTAGAATCTCTTCTTACAGTGCCTGGAACTCAAACAGCAGTAAAAAAAAAATGGTTACTATCAAAAATGTTAGTTTAAATGATAGGAGGTAGGACTGATACAAAACAGAAACTAACAATGCAGTCTGGTTTTCTTCTTTTTTGGGGGGGAGGAGCAGATATAAAGGTAATAGGAATTTGGAACAGAGAGAGCCTGTGTGCTCTGGGAGAGCTGTAAGTCCTGATGGTTCTTTTTATATTGACTCAGTTTCTTTTTTTTTATTTTCTGTCATTTTTAAAGAGAATACAAAAAGTAGTAAACTTGGGCAAAATCACATAGTTTAAACAAGAGGGCGATACAGTGAGGATGTTCCAGGTACAGGAAACAGACAAGCAGACAAAGCACTGCCACCCTGAAAGAGAACTGGTTTAAAACAATAGACATAAAGTTTAAGAGGGTAGAACAGTTTAGTGGTGGTCCTTGAACAACAACTAAAACAGAGTGGGCCAGCTAAAACAGAGTGCCTGCCCCAAGGAGCCAACAGAGGTGTTAGAAGAGGAAATCAGTGTATAAGAATTATTGCTCAAAATGCTGAGTATGTAGCAGAGAACAAATTGGCAGAAGCTTTGTCACCAAGGACTTAATATTCTATCAGGGAGATCCAGCTATAACAATCAAGGAAGCAGCCACAAGAATATTTGGGGGGAAGAGCACTCCGAGCAGGAGAAAGAGCCCATGGAATGGCTCTTATGTAGGAAAAAGCTTGAGGATGTCCCAGGGACAGCAGTGATAGAATGGGGAGTTGGATAAGGGGAAGTCGTGTAGGAAGAAGTACTCAGATCATGTAGAATGTTCTAGCAATGATAAAGAATTTAGATTTTATTCTAATAGTAAGGGAAATCGGCAGGAACTGCCCTCATGTGGCTTGTACATTTAGAGCTGTGGTGTGGATACTAATGCATAGCAGATCAGTACATCTCTCCTGGTGAGAGAGGTTAGTGGTTGACACTTAAATTGCAACAGTGAGGGGATGAGAAAAAAGTTTCAGTTTTGATGGTAGAGCCCATAGGACTCACTGGATGCAGTCCATGAAGGAAAGAAAGAAATTAATAATAACTCTGCTACTTTGGCCTGCTCTACCACTTACTGATATGGAAAAAGCATCATAAGAAGGGATTTGGGGATAGAAGTTTTGGTCATGTAATTTTCAAATATTTATTAGATAGTTGAATAGGGAGGTATGGAGATGATTGAATATGTGTATCTGGGGTTCAGCAAAAGGTTCCATCCAGAGATAGACATTTGAAAATCATCAGTGTAGAAAAGCTATTTAAAACCAAGGAATGGAGTGAACTGGGGGGGGTGGGGAAAGGGAGAGGGAGGGGGAGGGAATCCCTGGGGGAGACAAACAGCCAGAAAGCTGGGAAGAAAAATTGAGAATTGTTTCAAGAAAAAGCCAAATGCCAAGTCAAGTGAAAGGAAAATAGAGTTGATCATTTTTTCTGTCGGAATAGAGCTCTGTGATGACCTTGATGAGAGCCACTTCTGTGCAATGATAGAGACACATATCCATTGGAATGGGGCAAACAAAGGATGCTGCAGGGATGAGAGAGTGGTGTCCTGATGGGATGGGGCTGCTAGGGGCTGTGAGAATAAGAGAAGGATTTTTTTTCATTTGGTTTGGTTTCTTAGTATTATTGATTTTTCAGTAATATTACAGCATGTCTATATGCTCATGAGAAGGATCCAGGACTTAATGATGTAGACGCTTGATGATGTAGAAGAAAACTGTAACACTGATGTCCTTGAGCAAAGAAGAGGAGGAGGACACAGAAGTCATGCTAGGGTGAAACAGGGAGGCTTCATCCTAGATGGCAGGTGGGAAAGCAGAATGTATAGGTGCGCACGCAATTCAGGTGGAATGAAAACACAGACCTCACACAGTGCTGAAAATTGTCTTGGTAAATGTATGGTCCAGCCATGAATTGAAGAGAGCTGATGGAAATTTCAGGAGAGTCAGGCATATCATAGATCTCTTGGAGACTGGGAAAGTGAATGTACAAGGGAAGTACAGTGCATCACTTGCTGGTGTCAATTACAATCTGGCTTCTTTGGTTGTAATTTTGAAGTGACTTGGTCAGTAGAATTATGTGGAATTTCTGCTAGAGAACTCTCTTGAAGACAAGTTAAGTGGACAGTCTTGTTTTAAAAGGATTGGGGTCTTACTAGGCAAGATCAATGGGAGGGAATTAAGAATATTTACAAGGGTAATGATCAGGAATTTTATGAATTGTAGACTGGAGTTTCAGGTCTAGAATAAAAGTTTGAGGAATATGGAAATGAGTTATTATAATAACAATGTATAAAAATTCAGTGCCCAAGGAGCTATATAGAGAATTCTAGGAAGTGCTTCCTTTGGGAGAAGAGTGCTGAGAGGCTGAATCTTGCAGAGATGATAGATACAAATGAATTTGAGGCATGAGGAGGTTGGCTGTGTAAATCACAGTATGACGTAATGGAAATCTCAGCTGCCTGTACTCAGCATCAGGCAACCTTCTGAGACAGCGTCATGTAAAGATTACTGAGATTATTGGATCTGGAGTCAGAAAGGCCAGCAACTGATCTCCACCACTGCTAAGCACTCACTTTCTGACCTTGAGGAAGCACACCCTTGTGGTGGCCTCATTTCGCTTATCGATAGAGACCAACAGCTGAACAGCAGAAAGTGAAAATAAAAATTCCATGGTGGCTGTGAAAACACCTGAATTATAAAACATTGAAGTTACTGATGTGGCCAAGAACAGGGTAGCATTTGTAGATGATTCCTTTAAGAACTGTGTATGTGATCAAGAGCAAAGTGTATGTTTGAAAAATGCTTACACTACCCAGGCCTGGTAGGGGACAACATGAACCAGCAAGGTAGCCATGGGAGAAGGCCAGCAGGAAGTAGAAAAAAGGGGCAGAGAGTACTGTTTTAGGTGTGGCTGGTCTAAATGAACTACTGTAAACCTCACCCAGCTGCCAGTTACCCAACACCAATGGATACCAAGGGCCAGTGTCGGAGGACAGAGATAGTGGTCAAGAGCTCGAGTTGTGACCTTGGACAAGTCGTTGAGCTTTGTTTCCTCCTCTATAAAAATAGAAACACTTATACCTGTTATGTCATATGTGAAGATTAAGTAAGTAGGATTCCTGTATTTGTCAACCATAGCTCAGAGTCTAGTGGATAATGGGAGCTTATAATAGTAGCTTTAATTATTAGTCCCGAATTATGAAACTCTCCAGAAACCAGTGAAGCCCACTGTCCCAAGGAGAGTATAGGGAGGAACTGTTTACAGGAAAGGAGTCAATGAAAGACTGAATGAATTAGGAGTGAAGGAGTCAGAACGGGCCACAACAAAGGCGAGGGTCTCCTAACCTTCAAGTCTGACATAGCAAAAACATGGACTTTCTTTATTAAGTTTCTTTTTTTTTTGGTTTTATTTTTTATATATTAATTTTATTGCGAAAGTAGCAATGAGACAGTTTCAAAACAGGTTAGTAGGACAGTAGCAATAATTAATACATTGCGTATTGTTGTCTTTGTAGTAGTTATTCATAGTACAAGATGCAGACATGATATCTTGTCTGAACACTATTAGTTCAAAATTTTCTTGTTGTTGAACTAACAGAAAGTAGCTGTATATCCATGCTAACTATTTTGTATATACAGATATATATATTTTTTCACTACAAAATGGACCTTCATTTGCATCCCCCTTTTTTGTTAACTTTTGTCAGAGATGGGTATTCCATTGCCATTCATATATTGTAGGTGCATGAATTTAACAAAGTAATCCAATATAGTCCAGTAGTCTATAATAGTAGTGGTTATCCACATGACTGGCAATGTCAGAAGTTGTTGACTTGAGCCTTTTGCAGCTCAGTATATTAATATGCCTAAGGACTGTCACCCGGAGAGCAAACACTCTCTCAGGTTTTCACAGAAAGCAAATTGGTCAAGCAATGGCCATGACTCATCCACATGGCTGACACTGACAAAACATCTACAATCTGATGTACAGGGTTTCAAGGGGTAAAATCCTGAGGGGATGTCACTGACCTTGTCAGATACAAAAATGACATTTTTTGTTAGATGGGTCTTGCTTTATCTTGGTTGCACCATCCAGCAGAAAAGTATAAAAATGAAGTATATATTAAGTTTCTTAGGTCTGACCCATTATGTCATATCCTGCTGTCTAAGCTTAATGCTGCCTCTAGTGGCAAAACCTCAGCCAACTGCTGCTAGTTCAGAAGTTAACTCTTTGTGGCTTTTTGAGAACACTTGCTGTATAAATGCAAAGGCTACATATATTTGATGGAAGCACAGTGACTAAATGCAGTCTTTTTGTCTGAAATATTAAAACCACACCAGCCATGTGAATACCAAGTGGGACCAGCAACCTAGAAAGGTTGAAATCTAATGACCTTCCATGTCAAAGGCCAAGGAGAAAGGGTAACACAGCTCCTCAAACAGAAAGAAGTTCCAATTTAAGCTTCTTTCTCTTAGAAATCTAACCTAGCACATGGTAGGCCCTCCACACTGATTGTAAAAGAAACTAGTAAGAAATAATGAGGGCCGGCGGTATAGCTCAGCGGACTAAGGGCTTGCTCACTGAAGCTCAGGGGCTAGGGTTCGATCCCTGGCACCGGTTGCAGTGCTGGCCCCCGCCCTCAGGTGCGCTGAGCTGGCGATGGAGTCCAGGCGTGGTGAAGCGCACCTGTAATCCCAGCCATGGGAGGCAGAAACCAGGAGGATCGCTACAACCTATGTAGTGAGACCCTGCACCAAAAAAGAAAGAAAGAAAGAAAGAAAGAAAGAAAGAAAGAAAGAAAGAAAGAAAGAAAGAAAGAAAGGATCCAAAAAGAGAAAAATATTCTAGGCTGTTACAGGAAAGAATACACATGTTGTGTACAAGAAGAAATGTGATTATAAAGGTCAGGTTTGAAGTACTAAGGTCAACTTCTGTGCTTGGCTTAGGAAACCTGTCTCATTTACTACCTTCTAGAATTTCACATTACTTGATGATAAGTGAAACTGACCACAGTTTCTCTTTAGTAGTATCTCAGGGAAGGGTAAATTAGACAGATTATACCATACAGATAACGCATGATATCCCTGTCAGGATGAGGAAGTTGTGCTGGCATAGCAAACAGTGGCGAAATCTTGGTGGCTTGGTGCCGCAGTGGCTTGTTTATTGCTCTGCAAGGCCTGCAGTCCTGCTGTGTTTCCGGGACAGCTGCTCTCCATGTGTTGGTGCAACATTCCAGGCTGCTGGAGCACTGCAGCGTCTCCATACCAACGCATGCTACAGCGATCACTCTGATGGCACTGAGGCAGGGGAGGAAGAAAGAGCTGGGCTCTGAGGGGCAGAAATGTAATGCCCGCAAAAAATCACATGATCACAACTTTAAGGACAAGAAAATGTGTTCCTGTCATGTGCCTGCAATAGAGGAGAATGGATACCGGTGACAGTAATAATGGTCATCACCAACAGTTCCTTACACAGCATTGTGACCATCTCTCATTTAAATTTTTCTTTGTATTATTCCTTTAATGAAAATCAAATTCCCATAATCTAGCCTATTTCTAAACTCTTTCAGTGTAGGCCACAGTAAGTAGCAGTTAAGAGTACTTACTACAGGGCTGGGGACATAGCTCAATGGCTCAGCGCCTGCCTGACACGCCAAGGTCCTTGATTGCCAGGACCCAAAGAAAGTACTTACGACATTAATGTAGTGTGTGCTGCATGCAGGGCTTGTTTTTATTTTATAATACAGTAAGAAACTTTTATTATCCCACCTTTACATGTGAAGAAACAGGCTTAGATAATCACCATAACTCTCCTAGGCCCTCTAGGCCAAAGATTAGAGCTACCTCATCTGACTTTAGAGCTCTCTCTCTCTGTGTTAGCTATCAACCTAAACTGCCTCCTGGTACTCTTAAAATAAGTTTTAAGGAGAATGGAGCAAATATTGCAATTTTCCTGTAAAAAAAAAAGCTCTTGAATTCACTGTCCTCATCGGCATGTTTCCTGGGAGGCAGCTGGGCCATGGCTCCCTGCCCTGGATGTCTGGATCGGGCCCCAGTCCTCAAGAGCAGGCCTGCAGGTGGAGTTCTGTGTTCTGAGCCTTCACTAACAAGCACTCTGTGTGCTTCTTGTGTCTTCCAGTTGACCGTCCTCCAATGGAACCCTCCCAGTTTGTGTCAGTGGCCCCTAAGTATCCAGACAAGATGGGATTTGATGAGGTAGGAAAGTGGGGTGTGTGTGTGTGTGTGTGTGTGTGTGTGTGTGTGTGTGTACTAGACCACAAACCTGAGTATGTCTGTGAGCCAGCAAAGTGGGTTTGGCCACTGTGAACATGCAGACTTTTCCCAAAGTCTTGGGAAAATTATTCAGTTTTGTGCCTTAGTTTTCTTGTCTTAAAACAAGGATTAGGGTAAAGGGAATTAATCACTGAGCCAGAAAGAAGTAATTTTTATTTACTAGTGAAAATAAACTTGCCTTATTTTGCCAATATTTTTGTTGAAGCTCAAAGGTAAAGTAAAGCAGATACACATTTTGGGTATTGGAAGGCATTAAGTTTGCTCAGTCACAGCTAAGTGGAAATGATTTGGAATTGTCTCTGCTCTGTTACTCTTCCATGGAAAAAGTTGGAGGACAGAGTTGAGAGAACAAAGGAAAAGAAGAAACTTGCTCTAAAATTCTGCCATTCCACAGTCAAGAACATAGCAAGCATCCTACAGATCATATGTATTTGTTGTTTTTTTTTTGTATAAAGACTGAAGCAGGGATGAAGGTGTGTGAGAAAGGAAGGAAGGAAGGAAGGAAGGAAGGAAGGAAGGAAGGAAGGGAGGGAGGGAGGGAGGGAGGGAGGGAGGAAGGGAGGGAGGGAAGAAGAAAGAGAAGAGAAGAGAAGAGAAGAGAAGAGAAGAGAAGAGAAGAGAAGAGAAGAGAAGAGAAAGTGAAAAGAGAAGAGAAGGAAAAGGAAGGGAAGGAAAAGGAAGGGAAGGAAAAGAGCAGAGCAGAGCAGTGCAGAGCAAGAAAGGAAGGAAGCCGAAATGCAAGAGGTGTCTGTCCACATTACAGGTCTGTCTCACAGTTAGTAATCAGCATCCAGGAGGTGCCTAGTGATCTGGTAATCAGTTCAGTGCTTAAGGAATCTATCAACAGAGTCAGTGTTCTGTGGACTCTGGATGTGTTCCAGGCCAAACACTGTGCTTCATGCTCATTGCCACAGCTTAGTGAGAGGAAAATGCCATATCACACTGCAACATGCATGTGTGTCCCAGGAGCATGCTCATCTTAAAAAGTTGCTTGAGGCTCTCGGGACACCTCTAGAACCAGCCCAAGCTGAGGCCCCATGAGTGCGTGGGAGAGTTTCCAAGCTCCCCTGTGCCTGCTGGACCTCTCTGGACCCAGCCCAGGCCTGGCATACAGGCTTGGGGTGAAACCCTGCAGCTGAAATCCCTGTAGAGAGACTAGGGGCCAGAACTACCCAGCTAATCCAGGAGCAGAACACCTTGCCAGAGGGGCACAACAGGTTCACTTCCAAGGGCTGCAGCAGGAAGGAGCTGAGCACAGCAGCCAGACCCAAGCCAGGCACAACTGGATGAACTCAAACTTCATAGATCTGCACCCAAATATCAGTAGGTGCTAAGGTTATAACTGCACCAAAAAAGCTGCTTGAGTGGTGAATTGGAATTTCTTTTATAAGACTGAGTCAGAGCTGGAGTACATGAATGGGAACACATATTTCATGACTATTAAATGTGAAAGTTACCAGATTTTCTGTGGTTTACACAGAGGGAAGAATAAAAAAAGTTGAATATAAACATAGTAGAGGAGAGACTTTGTTGTCTAGAGTTTTGAAAAATGCCCAGGGCTAGAGAAAAACCCAGCTTGCTCAGCACCCTGCACCTGCATAGCCCTGCAGTTTTCCTTCCCTATAACTCTCACCTCTTAGTTCTCTAAGCAAGAAGTCCCATTTTTACACATACTCATTTTTCCTCCTAAAATCACATTATGGACAGGACCAAAACAAAGCAAACAAAACAGGACAAGCCAGGATCTTCTCTCTCTGGGATGCTTTTGGCAGGACATGGTACAGGGACCATGTCACGCCTACAGTACTGGAAAAAACCTACTCTGGGAAGTGACACCCTCAGGGACTCTGCTTTCCTGCGGCTGGGAGAATCATCCCTGGGAACACACATGGGGTGGTGACGGGATTTTCAGAGGCCTTCGCAGTGTTCCTGGCACTGTAGCCCAGTCTGTCGTGTCTGGGCTGCACTTGGCTCTGAGCACTTTTCTATGTTTACCATCCTAAGTATGAGCGAGCCGTCTGTGCTTTTCTTCATGGCTACCACTTTTACTGCCCTTGTCCTGGCAAGGACTGGCACTGCGCTGTTTACCAAAGGCCTCCCAGGCTGGAGGTCTCTTGTTTGAGGGGACTATTTTGATGCATTTTGCTTATTTTTTATTTTGCTGTGTTTCTGTCTCCCAGGGTGACCCCAGGTGGTTCCACACTTACACATAAGGAAATACTCTTTCCTTGTGGGTCTGTTAAGTTGGAGGGTGGAGCATGGCCATGACAGAGTGTTCTAAATAGGGAGAAAATGGAACATAAAAAAGCACAACCCATTAAATTATTAAGTCCCAAGTAATAAGGCAAATACAGACACCACAGAAATTATGTTTTAAAAAAATAATTATCCAGTCAAGTAAATAAAGGCAATAAAATCATTATGAACTTAATCTGCTCTATCCTAGAGCAGATAGATAATTTTCAAAGAGGATGTCCTCCTCGCCATCAGTTCCTTTTCCTAGAAATTTATAGATGGGCAGAAGTGAGAATATATTGCTTTGGAGGTTGAAATTTTCATTACATGCCTTTTGATCCTAGTACAGCAGGCAAATTATTTGCAAGTACATTCAGAATAACTCCTGAACCAAAATTTATTGCAGTATACTTTGAACTCCAGGCTAATTATGAAACAATTTCTTTTGTATTTTGCTCATAGCATAAAGCACATAGAAACTTTCATCTGTACGAGATTTGAGAGAGGAGGCTGTTCAGTTCTTAAAGATGGGAGAACTGGATCCAGAATTGTGACATTCTCCACAGTCATCCATACGGTTAGTCAGGATGAAGTCAGCCTCCTCTGACTTCTCCCTGTAGGTTTGTCCTTCCCCACACTATGTGTCACCATCGGTTCTTGCTGCCAGCTAACATCTCCAAAAGAACCAGCTAACATCTCCGAGTCTTGGAGGATGAGTTTACCATTAAAATTAGTCAATTACTGCTCACAGCAGGAGGACCTCATTAAGCACTAATTTGCAATAGCATTCAGGAGGCTTTAGATATCCTGTGCTTCCTTAACTACGTGAATAGCCAGGATAACCTCACTGTCTGTAACCCCTGGTATTCCTCATCTATGTGTATTTAGTGCAGCCATCAGGAATTTATAGGCAAAGGTAAGGAGCAATGGGTGGACCCAGCCCTCCTGAGGAAAAATCTAATGCACATTCTCCTTTCTTTCACATATCCACAGGTGTCATTTCTTGTAGCATTGCTCACAGAACCACTCAAAGTTGACATAATGTTGTTGCATTTTTCCCACTTTCTCTATCAAAGAGGCACCTCCAAGAATCGGGCTTCTTTTCTTTACTTCTTTCCCTTTTCTCTAAGGGAGTTGGAGAATTCTGCCAGGAAAACTGCTAAAATTGAAGTCCTAGTTCACATTGGAATCTTTGCTAATAACGTCAACAAATCAAGGCTTTAGATTTTTCTCATTCTTTGAAGGACTTTAAGTTCATCTAGTGGATGTCAATTATACTGATACCACTATGTGATACTCATGAAGTAGGATGACTGTTATCCCAGTTTTACAGGTAGGAAACCCAGGCATAGAAACTGGCTCAATGCAACAGTAAATCACAGGACTTAACACTCAGATCTGCTGATATAATTTACCACTTGGGGGCTGGGGCGATAGCTCAGTAGAATAAGCATTTGCCTGGCAATCACAGGGTCCTGAGTTCAATGACTGGTACTGAAAAAAAAACAAAACAAAACAAAAAACCACGTGGTAAACAGCTTTCTGCTCCTCAGGGCCATATACTTTAAGTTTAATTAGTTGTTGGCCTCTTAAAGATTAACTTTTTGGGGTCTGGTGAGATGGCTCAGTGGTCTAAAGCACCTACTTAGAACAAGCTAAGCTAAGCAAAGCACAGGGACCCTGGTTCAATCCCCCAGCACCACATGCCAGCCAGTTCTGCCCCCTGGTGGTCTGAGCTGGCCACACACACACTAAATAAATAAATAAATATTTTTTTAAAAAAGATTAACTTTTTGAATTTTGTTTACTCAAGAGCAGGAAGAATGCATTTATCAATGCATATCAGAGAAACAAAGACATTGTTAAGTCACTGCAAATGGTTGTTGAGAAAGTTGTTTGTATATATATATCGAATTTAGGACTTGAGCTTGCCAGGCAGGCACTTATGCCACTGAGCTACCTCCCTGACCCTAAGAAGTTTAGTTTGGATAAATATCATTTGTCCTCCATAAACCCAGTAAGAAATATAAACAAATCTTCATCACAGCTTTTCCTGTGCTTTGTATTCCTTATCGTATCTAAAGCTCTGATCCTGACATTTGCTAGACTTTTCAAAAGGCCTAAAGTAAAACTTAGGTAATTTAACTTTTTCTCCCCCTTTTTGCTTCCTGTATTAGATCTTCATGATTAACCTCAAACGCAGGAAGGACAGGCGGGACCGGATGCTGCGCACACTGTACGAGCAAGAGATCGAGGTCAAGATTGTGGAGGCCGTGGACGGGAAGTGAGTCGGGCTGCCGGTCTACTTGCAGATGCGGTGGCGAGGGGGAGGTGCCTTCCCTGCCAGAGGCAGTCTTGCAAGGGACTCTTGGTCACTCGACAGTAGACACATCATGTAGTATTCCAGTTAGTGTCACCCTGTGGCTCAGATCTGGGCATCATCCCCACCCGGTGGTCCTTAGGTGTTATCACACTGACCATTCCAATTGGATGTGACTGTCCCTGGCCCCTGGCCCTTCTTGCAACAGTTGTGATTTCGTACTTTCTGGAGGGTAGCAGAAGCTTTCGTTGTGTGAGTTGTCTTCAAACTTGAAGAACATAAGCAGAAAAGCACATTTTTGTAGTGATTTTCACTATAAGGAAAAAAGTATTTTATATTGATGAAATCCAATATATATTCATCGGGTTTTTTTTTTTAAAGAGCAGAATGTATTTATTGGGGGAAAGAAAGCTTCTGTCCAAGAGAAGGACAGAAGCGGGGCCCCGAATGGGTTGTCCCCTATATTCCTTATTCTTATTGCTTGCCATCATCAAACTCAAAGCCATGAAGATTTACTTTTTTTTCTAAGAAGTCTCTAGTTTTCTTTCT